CCCATTCCTTTTCAAGAGAACTGTTCTCAATACACGACAGGCACGAAGCTGCTATACATTAGCCTAAAATGTCATGAATTTTGATGAACACCAGCCGATCTATGTTGAATTCATGACTTTACGCTCTCTTGATTTCAACCACCCTTTCCCCCCTTCTGAAAATTCTGACCGAGGCATCTTCCTCACCGAAAATCCCATCTCCATTTATCATCATCTATTGCATCCTCTCATGAATCTGGTAACCTTTAGAACAATGCGTCTGACAGTTTGTTTTCCTATTTACGAAATGAAGTGAAAATACATCTAAACTGGACTTTAATGACCGACCGATATTTCACTATACCCTACTTTCAAATGCTATAGCTCAGCATATTCAATCTATTTTCAGATTGCTTACAGGTGGCATGCTCTTTGTCCATTTTTCCATTTTTGCTCTCCTTCATTTTTTCATTTTCATGATTACCTAAATGGTTGCTTTGGAGGGAAAAAAAAATAAACATAAAACAAGAACTACAAACCAAAATAAAAGAGAATGTCATAGAAGATTAAGAAGTAGATCAACAGCGTCAAAACTATAAGAAGGGATACTTTGATTTTTTATTCCCAATTTTCTGAAGGTTAACTTTAACAAATATGAATGCAAAACTGCAATGTACAACTAAAATATTTATTCATGAGATAACAGGTTCAAATGTATACTAGGACAGCTATTTTGTTTCTTCAGAATATAGTTCTTACAAATTGGAACCAAACCATATGAGGCCTACATTTACACAGACTAGATTATTCAAGAACAATACATTTGATTGAGAAAATGATTTTCCTCACTGATGTATTAGGTAGAAAAGAGGAACAAAAGTATAAACAAAATTACCTATTTTTATCTCTTTCGTGAGTGGCAGACAAAACTGATCCCTAGTTGTTGTAAACTAGACATCCTGAGCCCCATTCATGAATTTCATTTGCATTTTGATCCTCAGTTTTCAAATCTTAACTACTCATCCCTGGATAAGCCTTCTCCTCTATATAAAATGTCTCTTCCCCGGGCCCCGCCCCCTTGGGAGCGATGATCCGCTTACTATGTTACTCTCTCCCATGAAAATCCATCAAAGAATCATGAATGATCGATGTTGATGCGTTCATACCCGAGGCACATCATAATCACCTCTCTCGCGCTTTCTCCGTTCCACAAAGAGAGCATTTCTCCCGTCTTCTGTTCCAATATCAAGCCATCTTGGGGAGTGAGGAATGAAATTGATTTTTGTTTCAAGAAGATGTTACAGTTGGGTACAGAATTGGTGACAGGGGAATGCATTGGACAATTTGATTTTTCGTATTCTGTATCTTAACCTGTACTGAGCCACCAAGATTAGAATGTTATGTACAGTGCACAATTTTTAAATATAGAATCTGACAAAATGGTATCATCAGATACCTAATACAATATTGTAATTTTGATGGTCCCAATGTCCTCGTTATAACAAGTTTCAACTGTATTACATAATGAAATTTATGACAAATACAAGCTCTTCATTTCAATTCTTTGATTTCATTATTCATCTTGATACAGTGTCAAAGTGTCTAGCACAGTTCATAAACTTCATGAAGAAAAACAAGTATCACTTACAAATTTACAATTCAGGCAATGGAAAGGTCAAGTCAAAGGCAGATAGAGGGGGGGGGGGTCATGGGGCCTGAACCCACATAATCTGATGAACTTTTTGTTCTTCTTTGTGCTTGTCAGAAACGATTTTAGAGTACTTCCTCTCCCTTTCACAAAATTCTGGAGCTGCCCCTGAAAGAATGTTAATATTTAATTTTGATACAAGAGCAATGTACATGTACCTACAACAAACTGAATGCAGAAATATGGTCTGAAAAATATAAACAGCTGCAAGAAAAATTGACTTCTATTATGAAATTCAAACTCCATGAAAACTCTTCAGTAACATTTCCCCATCTCTTCTAGAAGTCAGTAAGATTTCAAAGCAAAATGGTCAAGAAAATAAACTATCAGATAATGGTCAGTGTTCCAAGACATTACAATATCTTCAAGTTTTACATGTAACTTTACAAAAATATAACCAAATGACAATGATTGTTTTGACTTCATTATTGCAAGGACAAGGACTGTTGAAATTCTGACACAGTTTCTTACAACTCATGAAATACAGATTTACAATAAAGAAAATATATACCGTCTGCATCAAATCCATTTCTTTTCATATACTGGTAGCCTTTATTAATGATATGCCTAGGGGCAAATTCTGATTCACTTTTCTAGTACCTTTTAATGCCAAGGGATTATTATGAGAATCTAGAACTCAATTAGCTTCTTACCACTGGCTTTATTCCATTTCCTTCCCAATATATCATGTCTTTCTCTCTCTTTGAGCATTAATTGCACTCCTGGAATGCGACTGAACAGAATATATAATCCTATAATGGAACTAGTAGAAGATCAAAGAATGCCCTTCTTTTCAAAGGGTCATTTTTGTTTTTACTATAGCGGGAAGAAAAAGTGGTTTGCGAGAGAATATGTTGTCTGTTTAGGGCCAGAAAATGTAATAACTCTGCGTTATTGTTTTTGTGACCACCTGTATAGGAAATAAACTGTTAATAAATGTCACATTTGTCATTTCCCTTAAAAATCGCTTCTCATATAAACATAATTATATACTAAAGGAAACTGTACATAAAGGCCACCTGCCTACAACAACCACTTTTCTTGTCACCCTTGGACCATAGACCCATGCTTGAATGGTCTTTATATACAGGTTTTATATAGGAGCCCCCCAAAAAACATTCTCAACATTTATGTTACTTCCACTTGATTTCAAAGACGGAAAAGTACAAATCCGATTGCAAAAATAATTCACTTTTGATTTGGAGAATCTGGGATCCACCATGACAGAGTACACTCTACGATCATGAATGATATCAGTGTGAATCCATCTAGGGATTATCTTGTCATGGGTTCCACTTAGATAGATAAATGTATCCAGGGTTCTCTCTCTCTCTCTCTCTCTCTTCCTTTCATGAGGAGAGGAAGTCTTCTTCACAGAGGAATACACGCAAGCATGTTCCCAGATTTACGGTTAAGCATGGTTTGTGGCTGAAATTTTTCATACAAAACTATGTTCCCATGCATTAACTTTCATAACTACACAACCTTTAAAGCCTATCTGCACTAGTTTGGCCAAGAGGGATTAGACCTACCTGCATGGTCACTGACAGGTGGTTATCTCATCGAATCAGCTCTCAATTAACATAAGAAAAACAGGATCTTGGGAGACCAATGGTCACCGCTTAGGCATTGTTTGCTATAGAGAGGGCACAAGTATCTACAAGTAGTGCAGTCCTGCTTTAAGAGAAAGCATTTTAAGTACATTTTGAAGAGTAATCCACATTATTTGTTACGTGTTGCAGTATTAAATCCCAAACAGCAGCTCCCTAGAAGCTATATTGGGATGTCAATCATCACATCACCTAGTAGAAGCACTGTGTTCTATGCCGAACCAGACTAACCGGACACTGCATGAAAGGAAATTAAAGAATCTCAATTTTTCGAGAGAGTAACCCACATGAATGATTTAAGTGAGGAAACAAACAGTAGATAACCTTTGTTGCTTATAGAGTTTTTAATGCTCTCCAGCAATTGGATCCCTGTGTGCCTCATAGATGACCTTTAAATTTTTGAAATGTAGGCAAGGTCCAAATCTCAATGGAAGACAAACCTTGAAAATTTCAACCTATAGACCTCTCTGAATGAAAAAAAAACACAACAGAATTGTGGAATTGTGGAAATGTCCATTTGCAAGACATTAATCTTCTATTGTCACTCTCCACCCAGGTGAAGTAAATGGGTACCTGGTACTTCTTCTATCACAGGCAAGTGAGTATGCATAGGAACCCTGTTGTGCGCGAAAACGAAGACAGTCCTAGAAGTAAACGAGGTAGCGATAGAAAATAAACAAAGTAAGAGCCTTGTGACTTCAGCTCCATTAATCAAGATGTTAGCAGCAGAAGTGAAAAAGTAATGATCATGGAAAGAGAAGGAATATAACAGTAAGATGGAAATACCAACAAAAAATCATCCCTATATGCCATTCATCTTCATGTAAAAAAAAAAGAAAGTAAGAAAAGAGTTGCGGTTTATGGTTTACCGCAGCATTGGTAGACAGGCCTGCACCTTTAGCTATCATTCAAGTGCCGTCCAGTCCGATCCCCCAAGCACACGTACCCAAGACACTAACCTATGGTGATACATAAAACATGGGTAGCGGCTGTCCATTGAAGTGATATGCATGAATAAAGCATATGTCTAGTTCAGAACTGCATTAACTGTACCGGAGTTTTACCATTTCCTGCAGGGGTGTTTGAGTATAAATTTCAAATGACCAGGAGTACTTTAAGGCCTATATTCGAAGCAGCTTTATACTTACTTTTAACTAACGCTTTAACAGCATTTACGCACAAGAGGAACGCTATCTTTAAAAGAAGCATGTTATAAAGATGCATCTTAAAAAAAGGATCGCTTCCAATAGGTAAACAGTATGTACCTTGTACACACCAAAATACAATTTGTATTTCAAAAAAATATTTAAAAAAAAAACTCATTCTCATTCAAGACAATGCCAAACCCTCTGATTTGGCAGGTGATATTTTGTTATAGAATGATTTTCTATATGATGATGATTTGCAGATGGGAAAATGTAATCATAGTGTAGCTAAAGAGTTATAAAAATTGGAGTTTCCCCATATCTATATCTATATACCATGAACAGAGGGAGGGAGGGAGGGTGGGACGGTACATGTATTGAACTGTATTCTCTGTATAATGTGCAAAAAAAGAAGCAACATACCCTGAAATTGAATTCTGTGCTTTTCTAAAAAAAAACCACAACAAATAACTGGAGCATGAAAGCATACAAATATTGAATCATCAATGTTTGTCAAAATATACATGTAAAATATTGCAAATAATGTGATGTTCTCTGTTCAGCAAAGGTATCTCTAAACGAAAGAACAACCCGTTAGATCAAGACTCAAGACTATAAAATGACATTGTACTAGTTGTTTTCAATGTCTTCAACAATAATTTTCAAAGGATTAACAAAAACTTTGTGTAGCACTGCCTTGGTCATGAGAATTCTGTTCTATATCCCATAGCTATAACTTGTTCCGGGGTTAAGGCAATACCTCCTCTTTGCATCCACCCACTGTTCTTCGTTGACTTGGTCCCGTAATAAAAATCATCTTCATCGTCGCTGTATAGATCAAAGTATTCCCACGCATTGTCTCCGCTTGGCTTTGAGGTGCTAACGACTTTCACCGTTTTCTTCAAGACACGTATGACTATCCATGCAAGCACACAATGCCAGATGAAAATGATAAAAACGGTGATTCCAACTCCCTCGTCGCGTCTCCACTCCCGCCCCGTCATGCTCAGAGTGCATCCGATCTGGACCAACCACGTGCCCTGGACCAGGGAGCACCCGCATCGGAGCCACGAGAGTTGTTCAAATTCCGGCACCAGAAGTTCCCCCACGACCACCAGGGCTGAGAAGTAAATAAGAGTACAGACTGGTGTGTACATACACCTGTCACATCCACTGGGCAAGCTGTTCAGGTGTGCTGCCACAATGGCGTACTCGCAGAGCAGCGCAAACAATATACACGGTTTAACCCACACACGCATCCAGCTTGAATAAAAGTCACATGAAATTAAGACCACGCTGTATAAGGCATACGGTAACCAGATGACATAAATGAACCACCGCGACTCATCGGTAGAGGGCGTCACTTTGCCTTTCTCAAGGCGTGGCATCATCTCGATGAGCAGGAGGACGATGACGCTGGTCGCGACCAGGATGCCTTCTATCCATGACCTCTTGAAGCACTGCTCGATCATGACGCTCTCCATCTCCTCGTTGAGTTCGCTTTTCTCGCGGTAGCGTGTGAACTTCTCGTAGCTCTGCTTGAACGTCCAGCCGATGGCTACGAAGAACATGAAGGATCCAAAGATGGTGAAATCCTGCCATGTGACAGCCATCTTGGATCACAATGCGAAGGGACCCTGTGAGATGGGTGAAGGTCACCTTCTCCCAATCAGCTAGGGTGATCGATCCAGGCTTTGGGACATCATCAGTCACCTGAAAAGACAGATATATAAAGAAGAGTAAGAAGGGGCATATTTACTCCATAAAGATTGTACTGGAGAAGGGCAATAACTGATGAAAATGGGAAGTCTAGTCTGAATAGAAAAACAATCATTGACATGGAGTATTCAACTGATGGCAATTTTTTTATTAAAGTGTAATGTAATGCAACCTAGGTAGCTATCTATTGCCTGTTTCAGAAAATCAAAAGCCTCCTTAATAGACATATACAAAGTAGTCTTTGATTTCAAACAAAAAGTAAAAGGTTTAAAAATAACAAATTGTTTATTATTAAGCAGAAAAAGAAGGGGCAAGAAGAGATATTTAATAAGCCTTTTTTAAGGGAGAAGAGTTAACAATGAGACTTTTCAAAGTAAATCGAAACACAAACTTCATGGAGACTAATGAAAAGGGGATGCAAATAGGATACAGTTACAATCAACTTTACACTTACGAGTAGACATCAATCTCTCTTTATGTCTCATTCATTAATTAATAACCCATAACCGCCTAAATGACTTCGGTAGGAGAGTGGGCTGACTGAGAAGGAGGCGGACCAGAGTATACTCAATTTGTTGATTCACAATCAATGCACAGGGCAGTAAAGTGCAGTATCCAATGTAAATACACATCCTTGGCTGCCTGCAAAAAGGCCGAAAGAGCGTTGTATTGTCAATGTCAGTAACGTCCTTCTTGCATGCAGCCGACGGTTTGTACTCCGTGTTCGAAACCCAAGTAAGGCATTATTGATTTCAAGGAAAGAGGTGGATGTAACCGGTAAGTGGAGATACTCAAACGCGAAGTACTTCTTAGATAAGACGAACCTGATCTTCAATGAAAGACAGATTATCGTGATTAGTTTGTCTCCTCCCAAACCGGGGGATAAATAGATAGGGATGAATTAGCACGAAGGACAGAGCTCCTGGAAATAAATGTCTTGTAAGTGGATGAAGTCATCACATTTCTATGGTAACGGAAGACTTATACTCCGACGCACATCCTTGAAGAGAAAAGTCAACAGAAATCAGGATCCCGTTCATCACCAGGTAATGAAAGGAGAAGGAAACCTTTTTGGCGGAGAGAGCGAAATGCTTCCCTGAATATCTTGCAGCCATTCCAGGTAATAGCAAAATATCAACCATGCCATGGCCTTAGGGAGCATGCTCTGAAGGAGAATGGGATTAAAGAAAAATATAGACGAGGATAAGCTTCTCCCTCCAAGCATCAAGCTAGCCGTATTTCTTGAAGATTCTACAGATTCAATGGGAGATTACCATCCGACTGTTTCTTCATCCCGATAAGATCTTCAGCTATCTTCTATGAATCTTAAGTGAAAATACTGGCATTTAGAAGGCATATATATTAGTTTCATTGTCGCATGCACTGTGAGATTCTGGGTTGGATGTGTGTGCAATATGAAGTAGATGATGATGATGATGATTCACAGCATTTGTATGGCGCCATATATCTGTATTTTGAAATACATTCAAAGGCGAGAGCTCCCCCAATAAAGTTGGCATTTAAATGTCTGAAGAAAGATGTGAGTCTTGAGTGAAGCTTTGAAGTGGTCCAGGTTGTCAATTTCGTGAATAAATGATGGGAGGGGGGTGATAATGATGATGGTAGTGATGATGAAGATGATGATGGTAGTGATGATGAAGATGATGATTGTAGTGATGGTGAAGATGATGATGGTGGTTGCCATGGCAATGATCACGATGATGATGATGATTGTAGTGATGATGAAGATGATGATGATTGTAGTGATGGTGAAGATGATGATGGTGGTTGCCATGGCAATGATCACGATGATGATGATGATTGTTGATATTGTTATTTCTAATGATCATTCTTTCATATTTTGTATTGATGTAAAGCACTGTGAAGCCATGGAAAGTTTGTAAGAGAACTACGGAAGTGTAAGTTTTATATTGTTGATGTTGCTATTGTTATTATTATCACATTGAATATTTCTATTTAAAACTTGCATCTGTAGCTTCTATCCTGTTATCTTCTTAGCAGTGAGTTAGCTTGCAATATTTTCAAGAAAGCAGGTGCAGACGTAATCTTTTGATGTCTGGAAATTCTGGGTTGTTCCATCTCCAGGGAAGTGGAAAGTCACACTAGATTTAGATCCAAACCTCGAGTGAGATGCTAATGGGGGCACTTTAGAAGGGGTGCCTAATCACTCGGGAAGAATGGGGTGAGAGAGAGAGAGAGAGAGAGAGAGAGATGAGGAACAAGTGGAATGAGGGGAGAAGGAGAGAGAGAGAGAGAGACATAGAGAGAGAGAGAGAGAGAGAGAGAGAGAGAGAGAGAGAGAGAGAGAAGGGGAGGAGAGAAAGGAGGGAGGGGAAAAGAAAGACAGATGGGGGAGGGAGGGGAAAGAGAGAGACAGAAAGGAAGGGAGTGTAGGATAAGGAAGGAAAGGTGGGGTGAAGGGAGGGACAGGGAAGGAGGGAAGCCAAGAGAGAAATGTAAAAAGTGAGATGGAGACACATATACGAAAGCAGAGGGAGGAATAGTGTAAGAGGTGCTGTGGAGAGACAGGGGGAAGGAAGAGAGAGAGAGAGAGAGAGAGAGAGACAGAGACGTCGAGGGAGGGAGTTGAAAGAAGAAAACAAGAGTAGAAAGAAGGTTTCACTCACTTTGTATCAAATGAGGCAATGATGAGAGCAGACAAGCCCCCCATTAGCCTTAGATCATAAATTGCTCACGGGAATTTGTCTTCCCTACTTCGCGCACTTTGCAACCAGCCATTTCCTACCCCGTTTTCTTCTCTTCGTTGTTCGATTGGGGAATCTGAAGGTGAATTTTAGCCACACTAACAATCTCTCATCGATTTTATATGTTCATCTACACGAATCAATTCCAGTTCCCACTCCTAAAAACAGTTACATTTACTCCTTCAAAATCAATGCGTTAGTTCACCCGTTGCCTACGGGAGCCGCATGTTACCTTAACAAGCCTGGGGAACGAGCATATCTTTTCAAATTTGTAACAGAAGACTGTCTACGTGATCACTTTAGTGTGTAAAAACAATAATAATATCCTTATTTCCTTATTTCCTTATTTCCTTATTTCTTTATTTCCATGATTGTGATAGATAACATAACATACTAACCTAATATTGCAATCAAACAATAACTGTAAATGATTTTGAAAGCAAGAAAAATATTGAGGTTTATATTTTCCTGGAAAGGGAGAGAGAGAGAGAGAGAGAGAGAGAGAGATATATATATATATATACAGAGAGAGAGAGAGAGAGAGAGAGAGAGAGAGAAAGGATGGCAGAAAGGGTGGCAGAGAGAGAGAGAAAGGCTGGCAGAAAGGGTGGCAGAGAGAGAGACAGAGAGATAAAGATGGAATGGAAATCAGGCATCGAAAATGCAATTTATAAGCAGAGGAAAGGCACGAGTGTTGTTGACAATGCATAAACCTGCGCTCGTTCAAATCACTTGTCGGCTACATTTATATTTGCCAGGCACTCCAGAGTCAAAGGATATACTCTGGATCAATATTGACTGAATTTGTAAAGATCCACCAACTGCGAGCACGAGTCTGTCTTCATATGTATGTATTACATGACAGTCAGCTAATGAGTGAATCATAACAAATACAAGAGATAGATACTACAATCAGAGATATGCGAGTTATTTCCAAGCTACAATCTACACATGAGACTCAATCAGTTTTGTACATACACATGTACGCGCTGAATCAAAATTAAAAATAGAAAATCAGATTTTCACTTGATATTCTTACCTACCGGTATTCAATAGATTTTTTCCCTTCTCTTTTGTTAACATTTTGGCTAAACCTCAAATAAAATTAGAATTTCTCAAATTCATAATGCAAATTCATAATGCAATAACCATCAATTACTTCAAGATTCATACTAGGTAGTTGTCAACTAGCTACATATAGCTAATGTAGTACAGTATGTTCTTGCAGTGTTAAGAATATATCCTGATCTTTCAAATCTAAAGAAAAAAACTGAATGTTCAAAATGAATTTCTTTTATTTTTGCCTTTCCCCTCACATGTAAATCATACAGCACAATTTTTATCAAAGCACTGCTCAAAAGCATTGAATGGCAGCAATGAGCATTAACAAGAAGAAATTTATTAAAGGTAAAGACCAGATATGGTCATGCCATTGCATTGTGAAAGAAACGTTGTGGAATCGATCAGAAGAGGTTGATCATCTAGCATCTAGCATCTGCAAGGTCCTGGAATCATCAAAATGATAAGAAATTTGGCCCATTCTTTGTGAAGTTACAAGCACTATACACAGAAAGATGTATATGGGACTACCCTATATCTCTCACAGACCATGAGAGAAACAAATTTACCAAATATATGAATTAGTAGGCGGTTTCCCGGCAAATTTAGTGTCATCATGTATTAGTCAAAACATATTCTTTCACATGATTGGTAATGAGAGCTTCCATTTCATTTTTTGAAATTGGGGCGTTTCCAATACTGGTCTTTATATTTAAATGATTTGCACACAGCTTGCTAAATTCACCGCATCAACCAGAGCATGTATACACTGCACATTGATTGCCTTCTACTCAACGTTGACATCATAATAACATGAAGTAAACCTTTTAATTCTTATTCCACCATACTGTACGTCAATGAGGGATTTATGCTACCGTACTACAAAAATATCTCTGAAGTAATGAAATGGTTATAAGCTTTATAATCGTATAAGCTGTATAGTAGCTGTATTTACGTCATAGAGACTTGCAGTGAGGGGATTATTACAATACAGCTACATTTCTCCCTCAAACATGAATAGAGTGAAGGAAAAGAAAGAAAGAAAAAGAGAAGAATTGTGGAAAAATGCAGGTATGTGTGTACGTGACATCCTGTAACACCTCCAAATTTCAAGCTGCTGCAGTCGACTATCCTTTCTACTACACAAAAGCAGTGGTTTTGACATGTCATAAACATGGTCTTATGATAAATGTCCCTAATGCTGACTCATGATGAAAGCTCAAAAGTTGAAACAAAAAGCTGGAACTATTAACAAATCTGAAATGAACATCAAAGGTGTTATCTGTTAAAGCCTGAAATATCTTTTTGAAATAGACAAGAATATTTATATGACAATGCATGTTATTCCATAATTAATCAAACCATATTCAAAGGGTTCAGGGGAAGAATGGCTAAACACATAGGCCTTATGAACATGCACATCATAATTTTCCCCCACGTTTGAATGCAAAGAAGAAATAACATATCCATCCATATCACTCATAATTGATCATCGTTGCCCATGGCAACCAAAATGAACTGAGATATCCTTCACCATGTGCTATCACATGAAAGCGGATATCTCTCCCCAGCTTGCCGACACTTTTCATTTTCATCACAGACAGGTATGGACTGTTATCTTCTTCCACAATGAAATTGATATTGAAACCCTTTGCAGCTTGAAACGGACCCTTCTACCACTGGAAGATACTCTCATAGGGTGGTATTCTCGAAAGCGGCCTAAGTTAAATCAGTGGCCTAAACCAGGTTTAAACCATGGACTATCTTTTTTGCTATTCTCGAAGGTGGCCTAAAGATAAGCCAGGCTTAAATACGTCATAGTTCGGCCTAACTTTAGGCCGCTCAGAGGGCAGGTTTAAATACGTCATAGTTCGGCCTAACTTCGCGTGACGTCACTTTTTAGTTAAATCGACTGTCCGCGGAGAGTGAACGGTAAGTTTTGCATTTGAATTTCTATATTTGATAACAATTTACACTCTTTTGTATGGATAAGCGCTCATGAAAGTTACACCAGCTAATAAAGTATTTTTGTTACTTTCATGTTGCTGTACTGTTGATAATCTAAAATGCTTTTAACTGAATAAATTTGGGGGAAACTTGGTAAATGTTCACAGTGTTCGCAGAGCAGTCCCATACGTGCAAATAATTGTCGGTTAACATTTTTATTTCCTGAGATTGAGCAATTTCTTACCGGGTAATTTTTTTCTTGGCACTATTGTACTTTTGTACGCTTATACCACCTTAACATCACCTTAAAAATATCATTGCTAGACGTAGAAACTACTTTTATAGTGGATTTTCGAGACGCTGTTGCCTAAAAGTGGACTAGCACTAGGCCTAAATCTAGATCTAGCTGTCTCTTTCGTTCGTTAGCCTCTGATTTGGTCAGCTCCTCTCTTTCAGGAGCCGACCCTACCCAAATCAGAGGCTAACGAACGAAAGAGACAGAAATTTCGGTCTGGTATCACCTCTGCCTGAGCTGCAGTGCTAGTTGTGGCTGTTGGTGTGATCATTTCCTACAGGATGATGATGATTTTCATAACCACCCCCAAGAAAACATTTTTTTTTTAAATGTTAGGCCTACTACTAGACCTAGACCTCTAGCCGGCTCTAGACTAGATCTTAATTTCATCAATAAGAGTCTAGTCTAGACAGGTCTAATACAAATTGAAAGGAAATGGACAGAAGCTTCCTTTTTTTGACATAGGTCTACATTTGCTGATAATGTTACAGTAGTTTAGGCTTATAATACTTGTTAATAAACTAGACGTCTACAGAGAAATTGTAATTTCTTATCAAATATCAACATATTTTTTCATCTTGATTTTCTGCTATTTCAGGTTCTTTTCAATTGATGCATGGCATGGGGATGGAGAAAAAAAGGCCTCTCCCAAGCTATGGTGTCCAGCCTTGTGAAGTCCATCTCAATAGCCATTGCCAGGAGATGGGAGCTATACATCACAATTCCTTCAGCAAGAGAGGCAGTCCTGCAGAGTGCAGACCCAACATGAATTGTATAATTACTGCCATTTCCCTGGCGTTAATATGGTCGGTGCTATTGATTGCACCCACATAGGCATCTCCAAGCCAGTTGGCCCAACACCAGTTATTTCCTGAACAGGAAAAAATAGATACTCCATTTTCTTGGAAAGTCTGCTGGTGAGTTAAGCTGTAATTAGGCCAAAATTTTGTAAACTAAATCATGTTTATACAATTTGTATTAAAAAGATCTGCTGAATTTATGAATCTGCAGATGTGTCTACAGATACATTATGAAGTTATTTAAAATTGTTCTGTCTGATAAATGTAGGTGCAACCTACACTCAAACTTTTATTCATTTTACATGGGCACGAGCTAATATTTCAGCTCGATTGCCATGGCTACCAGTCATTCCTGACAGTGACAGCTTGGCCTAGACTTTTGGGCGAAACTATCTGAAAATAAGACACAAATAATCAACAGTTGAATAACTACTTTCAAATTTGGGTCAGAAGAAAATTCAAACCTACCACTAACAATTCTGGAACAAATAAGACTTAGACACCTACAGACTACAGTACAGTGCAGTAAATTTTACTTTTACTTTTTCCCCTTTCACGAAGCTCATTTTGGGAGATAACATAAACAAAGACAATCTTTGGTCTAATGTTAGATTGAACTGAAATGGAAAAGTTGGGCTCTAACGATTAGGGCCTTGTAAAATCTCCATTCCAGGCTGTGTTTACATCTAGGTTAGGCCAACTGTCGGCTCGTTATCTAAGTAAGATGTAGACTTGATTTCAGGAAAGGGACTAACTTCGCTATAGACTTTAACTACTTAGGGCTTTCTTAGGCCATGACATGGCAAGTACAACTTGGTGCAAGCACATTTAAGAGATAGTACTGCAAGAATGTGTATGTTTGTTCTCGACTTTAAAAGAGATACCGGTAGTCATTCTGTAAATCAATGATTACTAGTAACTGAGTGGGGAGGGGGTGCCTAGTCACTGCCTACATGATAGGCGCCTTAAGTTTTTTTTTTTAAAGTTAGCCTATTTTTGACACTATATAACTAAGACCAATTATCAATGGAGTAGATCTTTGATATTTTAATGAGGTCTAAACCTTTTTATTTTTGTTTCAGGATGATGTTTTTCTTCAGTAAAATAAATGAAGGCAAATTCCCTGATAACTGAGACAAATTCAGAGAGAGGAAGGAGAACTACTGAGCTGCTGAATTTCTGACAGGTAGGCTGTACGAATAAGTTGTTGTTTGTATGCCCAGGTACTTCAAGAATGGCATTTGTTCATTCACATTTTTCCATCAATACTTTCATGTAATTGATTAATATGCACTCCACTTTTACCACAATGTACATGCAAGACCTTTTTAATGTTTAACAGAAATAGGTTTCAATGTGCTTCCTTTCATTCTTTTCTCTTTTCATTCAACAGACATACTTGCAAGGACTATGAAGTTCTACTTAGCCTCTTCAATGAACCAGACTCCATCTGCTGTAACTGTGACTGCATGGGGATCAAAACCTGTGTATTATAATCCTCATAACATGAAGCTATGGTAACAAACAAGCAACCATTGATAAAAAGCCTGATATGTCCTTGTTGTGTGTGTGAACCACAAAGCAACCATCACTCATAAGGATGTTTTTATGTACATCAGATGTTCATTGTTTCACTGGAAAAATTGTGATTTTTAATCATTTAAGAAATCATGTTTTATAATGCGTTTTATAATATAGTGCAAGTCATGATATAACAGATTCCCTGCAAAAGAAACACGGCTCAAAAGTAGACTAAGCTTTGTTTTAAAAAAATGGGAGAAATTAGTGTAACGAATACATAACATTTAATTCTAATAATTTTAAGTAGCAGATTATGAGGCTATTGGAGCTTAATATTTGACCTTCAATTTTATAATCGTATTCATCGTGAATTACAATCTTTTCTGTTTTAAGAAAAATAAATAAATTGAACATAATTGTTGATATGTTATATACAATATTCCTTTCATATCTTTTGATTGTAAGTGCGCATACTGTTGGGTTCATCGAATTATACATGGAAAAAGTCTTGAAATAGAACAGTGAGAGAACAGAGAGCGAGCGAGAGAGAGAGATAGAGTAAAAGAGAAAGGGAACCAAATGAGAAAGAACAATTTAATGGTCAGAGAAATAAACAATGATGTGAGATAGTATATGTGTGTGAGAGAGAGAGAGATGGAGATAGGAAGAAAGAGTTGGGGGGGGGGTACAGTGCCCCCTTTTTCAAATGCCCCTTTTTATATAGGAAAGTTCCCTTTTAACTTTGTAAGAAGTGCCCCTTTTTCCATAGGTAAAGTGCCCCTTCCCCTTTTCACCTCTGATAAGTGCTCCTTTCATTTTGACACGGGCCCCTTTTCCTTTGACAAGTTTCCATTTCCTTTGCAATAAGTGCCCCTTTTCACTTTTGAGAAGTGCCCCTTCACCTTTGATAATTGCCCTATTTAAATCTGAGAGGTGCCCCTATTAACAAAATTATCGGTGCCCCTTTTCTTTCAACAAATGCACATTTCCTTTATTATAAGTGCCTCTTTTTCATTCTCATAAGTGCCCCTTTTAAAATATGTTCAATGCCCCTTTTCAGGTGCGATATGTGACCCTTTTCACCTCTGATAATTTCCCTTTTAACAATGATACAATTCCAGCAAGTGCCCTTTTTGTTGGTGGTGCCCCCCGCTTTGGAAGTCGCTCCGCCGTCCCTGGACGTCATATTGCTCAAGTTGTCGAGGTGATGCATCCTCTCCACACTGCGCGCATCCATTGTCTTAGCCCATTGTCTTAGTGCATTGTGACGTCATATTGCTCAAGTTGTCGAGGTGATCGATGCATCCTCTCCACACTGCGCGCATCCATTGTCTTAGTGCATTGTGACGTCGCAGCTTCGGTACTGAGCATGTGCAGAAACCGTAACCATGGTGAATAATCCATGGACTAAGTTAGGCCAGGTTTAAACCATGGATCAGTTAGGCCACCTTTCGAGAAATGAAAATGACTTAGGTCAGCGGCCTAAGTTAAGCCTGGCCTAACTAAACCACGGTTTAACTTAGGCCAGGTTTAACTTAGGCCGCTTTCGAGAATACCACCCATATTGTTTATGAACCTGCCAATTTGACTTAACAAAAATGTACACAAGTATATATATAAATATACATTGCTACATGCGCTACTGTTGGTGGTTGTTACACCATGGACCCTACATGGTCACACAGTATAAATCTTGAATGAAAAGGAAGCAGAAAACAAAAACTGGTATCATAATGAATAGGAATATCACAAAATAACATACCTGTACGTCTCCAGGGAAAGAGAAAGAGAGAGAAAGAAAGACAGAGAAGACAGAGGAAAGAGGAGGAGAGAGAGAGAGAGAGAGAGAGAGGAGAGAGAAAGAGAAAGAGAAAGAGAGAGAGAGAGGAGAGAGGAGAGAGAAAGAGAAAGAGAAAGAGAGAGAAAGAGAAAGAGAGAGAGAGAGGACAGAGAGAAAGAGAGAAAGAGAAAGAGAGAGAGAGAGACAGAAAGGAGGGGGAGAGAGGGGAAAGAGAGATCTGCAGAAACGAGACAGAAATGAAGAGATGAGGGGGTGGAAGAGAGGGGGGTGGAGGATGTACTTTAAAGAGGATGTGCCCACAACATTCAAATTATCTTTCTCCCATCCTTCACTTCAACAGGTTATTGACTGTCAATCTACATGTACAAACACACTGGGGTGTTACCACTCTTGGGTTTCCACCTATTATTACATCCGATTAACCTATGGATCGCCTTTGAGGTAGTTGCTTTCACTAGCAATCGTAACCTGAGTAGCTGACAAGAGTTACTGAAGGGTTGTTCACATATGCCAATCAACGAGGACGCAGTTTTACTACAGGATTTTCTAAAAGCGTGCTGTACTTCACATTTCTGAATCTTATAACAAGTCATCATCATTATTAGGAATGGACAAATCCATACAGTGCTATATTTGACGGATTCGTTGGTTCATAAAACCGCCGACGAAATAATTAACATAATTAAGATAATTGCCCCCATGTTAGTCTGTTAAAGATGTGTACTGTGTATTAATTTCCATTAAAAAAAAAAAAACCAACATGTACTTTAAGCATACCATTCACAGAACGGAAAAGGACCAGACTTTAAGGTTAAGGAACCAAGGAGGGTCAATCTATCATTTGATCTTTAATGGAAATTCAAGGAACCATGTTTCTCAACTTAATGATATTAACATACTTCTGTCCAAGATTCCTTTGACGTGCCATGCCATTCAAAACTACGTCACTGTTAACCTTGCAAGAAAATAGCCTCCTCTTTCACGTAGCACACAAACTGTGGCATATTCTCTCCTTGCTTTTAAGAAACGTACAAAGAGCAGACCTAGCAGACTTTCTCTTAAACTGCCAACTAACTGAGAAGAAGAAAATAAAATCAATATATCAGTGCCAAAAGCACTTAAATTCGAACCTCACTCCAATATATTATTAACCAAGGAGTCAATAGCATCGAATACTCTTTTGATGCTCAACAGATATATGCAAAACAGTTCACCTCTCTTGGTCTCTACATCTCTCTCTCTCTCTCTCTCTCTCTCTCTCTCTCATTCTTTCTGCATCTCTATGTCTAACTTTCATATCTCTCATCACATTATCATCTCTCTCTCTCTCTCTCTCTCTCTCTCTCTCTCTCTCTGTCTCTTTTAAAAAGGAGTCAAAGGCATCTACATCTAATACTCTTTTGATTCTCAACGGATGACATATGTCAAAAAGTTCCTCTCCTTATCGAGTTTCCATCCCTGTATCTATGTCAAGAATGCTATTAAGATTTAAGAAGCCTTAAAGGTAAAGACCAGTTATGGTCATGCGATTGCATTGTGAAAGAAACATTGTGGAATCGATCAGAAAAGGTTGATCATCTAGCATCTAGCATCTGCAAGGTTCTGGAATCATCAAAATGATAAGAAATTTGGCCCATTCTTCGTAAAGTTACAAGCACTATACACAGAAAGATGTATCTGGGACTACCCTATATCTCTCACAGACCATGAGAGAAACAAATTTACCAAATATATGAATTAGTAGCCGGTTTCCCGGCAAATTTTTTATCATCATGTATTAGTCAAAACATATTCTTTCACATGATTGGTAATGAGAGCTTCCATTTCATTTTTTGAAATTGGGGCGTTTCCAATACTGGTCTTTACCTTTAAAGGTGATGTACAGTGTTGAACTATTGATAAAAGCTGGAAGGGAAAAAACTACAACTAAAATTTGTATCAAACTGTTAAAAGACAAATGGGTTAATAACAGTCACATTTCTTCATTATCTTTGAGCAATAAACTTGAATCAACCTTGAAAATAAATGACATTTTACTTTAAATTTGGCTGAATGAATGCAATCTCTAAAAATGTCAATCCATGCCTAGGATTGAAAAAGGCATTAAACACAAATATTCCACTAAAGCACACAAATAAACACAATATTCCACTAAAACACACACAGATAAACACAATATTCCACTAAAAGATACTAATCGAGAAACTATCTCTTTAATCTATAGATCCAAGTGAGTATGACAGTTGAACCTACGGAATGAGCTCCTTGTCATGTCTGATTTGTCTTATGATTAAAGTCTAGAGTAGACAGACAACACAAAAATAGGCTGCTAATCGGGGGGTTGCTTTTCAGATTAAATTTGTTCTGCCATGTCGTTGCTTGAGGTCCCGTCTGCAATTACAGTCAGATCAGATGCCACTTCTCCTTCCTTGCGTCTCTTGTGTGTATTGTTCTTAAAGGTGGAGCAACAGTTTGGGAATTTGCAAAAGACAGAGCGAAAGAACTTTCATCCTTCCAACAAGTAGAAAAACACAGGCCTGATATATGCACATACTATCTATACAGACTGCTCCTACAATTTGACAAAACTATCTACTTCTCTGTTCTTTGTATTGATTGAAAAGTGGATAACAAGAAATATGTTATTCCATTTTCTGTAACTTCTTCCCCCCCCCCCCTCCCTTCATTCAATTCCTCTTTACCTTTTATACAATCATGGGAAATGGCTTTATGCTATCTACTAACATATACATCTATACCTTCTTCATCTTTTTCCTCTCCCTCTCATTCTAATAATGCCTTTAGCTTACTTGTTTTTTACATGGCTGTTTACGTCATTCTCATTCGGGTCTCAAAATGAACATGTGTGAAATTGATATATTCTGCCCAGAAGCACGATATCCTGACATTAATTAAATTAATTGTGCTTTTTACATCTGTTGGTCAGAATTTGTCTGCATCTCATTTTTGTTCTATCTCTAAATTCTCTACATCTAACATTCTCTCTTTCCCTCTAACTTTGTCAGTCTCCATTTCTTTCTCATTCTATATGTCTCCGATATCTGTCTGCTTATATTTTTACCTCTCTCGGTCTCTACGTTTCTCTCTCTCTCTCTCTCTCTCTCATTCTTTCTGCATTCTGCATCTCTCTGTCTAACTTTCATATCTCTCATCAAATCATCATCATCTCTCTTTCTCTCTCTCATCCCCGTCACTCTCTCTGTCTGTCTGTCTATCTTCTCTCTTTTTCTCTCTCATCACATCTCTCTCTCTCTCTCTTTCTCTCTCTCTCTCATCCCATCCCT